GCAGCGGAGACGGGACCGCCTGTGCCGCCGGCTGACTCATCGCTGCGGAGCGCCTGCCCCGACGGGCGACACTGTCCTCCGGTCCTTGTGGCTGGGAGGGCGGCTCAGCGTCCGCTCTAGTCTTGCTGGTTTCAAGATTAGAAAGTGGCCGTGTGCTCTGATGTGTTGAGACGACGGTAATAAAGTGATTGGGCAGAAGGTGGCTGTTGTGAAATACGAGGCGAAGGCGCGTGCAGGGGGCCCGACCAAGAACAAAACCATTTTCACTGATTGCATGTCCTGTGTTCCTGTCGGTCCCCACATGCCCCCCTCCCCCCTCTGGGTGACCCTTCTGACCTGCAGCCAGGGCCATGGCCCCTGCGGGCGCCCGAGGGCCTCTGCTCCCAGAACAAAGACGCAAGGACGACGGGCGAGGTGCCTGGTTTAGTTCCCCGGACCCTGGTGGCCCTCGGAAGGCAGGGCTCGGCTCCCGACGGGCACAGCCCAGCGGCTGTCAACGCATCCCACAGCCACCCCTACGCGTAAGCACTTTCATTAGCAAAAGCCCATCTCACATCTCACCAGCAGGGGGAGGTCCAAGTTCAGGTTCTGAACGACGGTTCCCACTGAGCACGTGTGGCTTTCACGCCACCGGAAAGTAAAAAACCCTACGCTGAGCCATCGCAGGCCAGGGCGCAGATTAAACTCCGCGGGCGCCCGGGGCCGGACCGCCGGCTCACCTCATTTCTACCTATTTATGTTTATTTTTCTGTCGGCTCATTTTAAATAGCGACCAGGCACGTGTGTGCTCTTTGTGGATGGATTAAGCTCGGCTCACGCTCTGTGGGGCCTGGAGCCCCCCTTGCCTCCAGGGAGTGGGTGGCCCGTGTGAGGGGGTCTGTGTCTGCTCCCCACGGACGGCCAAGTGGGGGGACCGACGTCAGGAGAGGCGGTGGGTGTGCTGCCAAGAGGGGTGGGGGAGGGGAAGGGGTGAGCAGGAGCTGTGGGTTGGGGGTCAGGAAGTTTAATTTTGTGAGAAAACCACAGTCTGGTGTCTGGTCAGGAGAGTCGCCCGGGGAGGGGCCGGCTCCCCAGGGACGGGGTCTGGGTGCAGCTGTGTCCCAGCCCCGGGACAGCACACAGGACAGATGTGCAAGGTGCAGGCCACTCGCCATGAGGCGGAGCCAGCCCACAGGGCCCGGTTCCCCAGCGCTGGCGCCTCCAGAGCAAGCTGGGCAGGCATCTGCCTCGGGCTGGGGTGCAGGAGGCTGGCCCCTGGCTGCGCCCAGCACAGCTGCTTCAGGGCCGGCGGGCTCCTGGTCCGTGCCTTAGTCGAATCAGCGTAAGTCGGGCTGGTCCGCACCGCGGTCAAGGGCACACATGAAAGCGCCGGCCGGCAAAGGAAGCCCGTCACACCGAATCCCCGTCTCTGGCCGGCTGCACCTAGCGCCACGGGGACCCCTCCCCCCAGCCCAGACCTTGGGGGAGGCTGCAAGTAGCACCTGGTCCAGAGGTGCCCGCGGCCCCCAGATGGCATCTCGGTGGGGCCAGGACCTGCACCCCAAGGCGCTTTGTCTCCCCATACACCCTCGGTGATGGCACCCCTGTCTGCTGCACCATTGCCAGGCTGTGCAAACCCCTCCCTGTGAGCCACCGTCATCAGCCTGCTGGCTTCCTGAGCCCGGTCCCAGCCTCCTGCTGGACACGGCCTGCCCCACCGCCCCCTCCTCATCACCCCCTCCCCACTCCTTAGCACAAAGCATTTCAGGTTTATTTAAATAAAAATTATAATTTATACAAGACTTCTTTAAACAAGGTCTCTTAAAAAATGTTACAGGGGGGTTTCATCGGTGCCTCGTACAGTACAATCCTTTTGTGAACAAAGTCGCACGTCGCGATATTTACAAACAGGTAGAGGAGCTCCAGACCAGAAAAGTCAGCGTCCCTCTCGTCCAGGGATGAGTCGTAGGAATCAAACGCCTCCCAGGTTTACATTCAGTGAAGCCACAGGTCCCCTGGGCGGGAGGGAGCCCGGGGCCTGCACAGGTCTGGCTCTGCCCGCCGCCGGCCCGCA